CCAAGATTCTCACTTTTAATCGTATGAATTCTAGCGAGTGTCCAAACTTCAGTATTTGTAGGCTTAAAAAAATGCAAGAAAAGTAACTATTCCTACATATCTGAAAATTACATTTCATGGAAAATGGAATCCCAGACACTCCTAAAAGTAATCTCAGTTGTCATCAGCAAGTTGACAGCACCAGCAAAACATTACGCACCGTCAGAAGACACTCGGTAAGCTACAAGACTAGCACCAATGGCCATAAAGAAGCAAGACTGAACCCTTCCTGCTTCAGAGTTGGGAAAGCGTAATCAACAGAGCTTCATCACTGATCTCAGCCGTAATAAGGCTTATGCATCTTTTTGAAGAAATCCAAGCAAGGGAGCACACAATAACAGTTATATGATGTAGACACACTGCAAGGACACAAACTTGCTAAGTATTTGGGTAAAACGAATAAAAAAAAGGGGAGATGGGAGCCCCCATTTTTTATATACGTGTCCATTGCACATTCCTATCTTGCACAGAAAAGATCTTGGAACTCTGAGATGAACACTTTTCAGTAATTTTGCTTCAGCAAAAATTTCAAGCTTCAAGCCATGCAACAAGAAACTTGACAACAAAGCAGCTGGTGCTCACCAGTTAGTTGGATGTTGTGCCTTGCAATAAATGAAAGCACTAGCAATAGGTGGCTCAGGGTTCAAGCAAAACATAAGAGCTTCATGCAGCATAACAAGGGAACGCAAAACAGACAACAAGACACATCCAGCTTTCATTTGCCTAGACTTTATTCATCATTCAACACAAGTCCACAGCAACAAAAGAATCCCATGTGCAACATTTGATAGCTTCATAGTATTAACACACGACTCCAAGTTCAGCACTCATTTACAGTGCGAAATGAAATGACCTAGAAGGGGGCACTGCTTGCACCTCACTGCTAACGCCAGAGTGCAGATAAAATTCTGGAAACTTCTGGATCTGTCCGATTCAATCCCAAAGTTACAACAATGCTTTTACAACCAGCCAAACATCCTAGTTCTATGTGTAAAAAAAAGGAGGCCCGAATCATGTTTACGATTCAGTAATAATGAGTCCAAAGCTCATTTTGGCTCCGAAATGAACATACGTTTTTGATAACATCAGTGGTGCAACACACAGGCACCTCAACCTCCAAGGCAGACGAGAGTGCTCATTGTTGAATGCGAGGAAAGAAGATAACATGTTCGCACATCTAAGTGCAGCCAAGATGCAAGGCAAGTTACATGGCGGATAAAACAGGCACAACGTTGATGCGCGCATTGGAAATCAATGTAAACATGGTTCAGGCTAGAATCGATGTGATCAAAGTATTTCCCCGAAAAAAAAAAGACGAGAGCCAAGTATTGCAAATGGTCAGAATATATATAGAAGCCCAACCATTTTTCAATAAAGGTTTCTGGCTGCCTATTCCTATGAAAGGAAACTTACACAAGTTTGTTTTTGTGAACAAGGAATTGAAGCTATCAAGCGTAGAAGCTTGGGCAAGTTGGTAGGACATAACTGAATGCAGGAACAGCGCAACCTAGAAGTAGTTACTTTGTAACTATGGAAGCGAAAAAAACAAGGACAGAAAAGAGTGCTGACTTTCAACAAAGATTTATTTTCGGAGTGGTGTACATATATAGGCGAAAAATGAGAAAATTGGGCATGCGTAGAAGGGTGCAGGAACAACCACTGCGATACAATGTCAGCAAAACTCTTGTCTCTTGTTGAATGGGCTGAAAACAAATACATATGTAACTTAAAAAAGGTCGAGATACGCAATCTCTTTTTGCAACAACGCAACCGATGGGCAACTTACACATTTACCGTCAAACTTGTTTATTTGATAAGCTTCGATAATCTCACGCGTGGCCTGCGAGCTGTGCTTGCTTAATACCTCGCAACGCTCAAAAACTGGCACGCAGCCGCAGTCTCGGCAGTGGATTCCGAGGTGTCCTTGAACTACGTTGTGTACATTGTTATTGTGCTCTCTTAAACGGTCATTAAGGCACCTTCCGGTTTGCCCTATGTATACCATTCCGCACTGCTCCAGTGCTTAGAAAAATGCATTAATTCGTTTAGGTCGATAAACTTCCAGAATGCGTCAGGTATGCCAGTTCATGGTTTTCTGGAATTGCTTTCATTTTATTTAAAGTCAACGGTTGCGTCTTGGAATGAGCAACATTTAATTAAAAAAAGTGGCGTTTGCATAGGTTCCTGTTTGGCACCAGTCCTGAGTGACATCTTTTATCGTGCATAAGGATCGCCACATTCAAAAAGATCTCAACTTGTCTCTCGTTGTGAAGGTCTGTAGGATTGTTGATGATTTCATTGTATTTATTGATTGTTTGGATACTGTTTTTGAAGTTATTGTCCTTAGTCTTCTAGATTTGTTTAAGAAGCACTTGTATCCTCTTGAACTTACGCATGAGTTACCGTCTGGAAATTCGATTAGGTTCTTGGTCCTAACACTCTGTCTTAGAAGTAATCATTTGTGCTGGCTGTTTTCATCGAAAAGTGGTAAACCCCTTTTACCTTTCCCCTCAGCACATTCAAAATTGGTGAAAAGGGGTATCATTAAAGATTGCCTGGTAAACGCTCTCAAGAGGTCATGCCCGCACTCGATGCAATGCAGTTTCAAAGCACAGGTAGAGCGCCTTTTAAGCGCTGGTTACTCGAGCGCCCCGATTTCTGCGGTTGCTGGAAAAACTTTTCAAGCAAATTAAATATCAAGGAGGGCGATCTCAGCCTCAAAGCGCATCTATTCCTATGAAATGTGTTGCAGTTCCTTATCTGCATAACGTGTCGCATCGGCTGAAAAAAATTGGTAAACGCGCTGGTGTCACTGTTGTTTTTTCTGCCCCAGAAAAGCTTGCAAAGCTTTGTAAGCTAGTGAATAATCCAGCTGCTATTAGAGGAAGATGCACAGTGAAACACAGAACGCGCTTTGTACCTTGTGTTATTGGTGTCGTATATCTCATTCCGCTTTCGTGCGGAGTAGTATACATAGGGCAAACTGGAAGGTGCCTTAATGACCGTTTAAGAGAGCACAATAACAATGTACACAACGTAGTTCAAGAACACCTCGGAATCCACTGCCGAGACTGCGGCTGCGTGCCAGTTTTTGAGCGTTGCGAGGTATTAAGCAAGCACAGCTCGCAGGCCACCCGTGAGATAATCGAAGCTTATAAATAAACAAGTCTGATAATAAATGTGTAAGTTGCCCATCGGTTGCGTTGTTGCAAAAACAGATTGCGTATCTCGACCTTTTTTTAAGTTACATATGTATTTGTTTTCAGCCCATTCAACAAGAGACAAGAGTTTTGCTGACATTGTATCGCAGTGGTTGTTCTGCACCCCTCTACACATGCCCAATTTTCTCATTTTTCGCCTATATATGTACATCCACTCCGAAAATAAATCTTTGTTGAAAGTCAGCGCTCTTTTCTGTCCTTGTTTTTTCGCTTCCGTAGTTACGAAGTAACTACTTCTAGGTTGCGCTGTTCCTGCATTCAGTAACGAATTGAAGGTCAAGTAACGCCCATCTTTCACAACATCCACTAGGTGCTTTGTTTAGCAGTGCATAAAGTGACTTTATGTAGTTTGATGTTAATTGTCTTCATGAAATGTCCTGCCGCATATTATTTGGTCAAAGTTCTGCATCATGAAAAATGATCAGCATGTACGAAAAAGACCACACACCTGGGTAGCATGACTTGTGCAGGGCAAAGTGGTGGTATCATGTATGTGTCAGGATCTGTGAGCACAGACTTGGGATTGGGAATTCAGAAGGCCATGGGCAGGCCAAGCAAGCGGTTTCCGAATAACTACCACAAGTGGACGCAGCGCGAAGTAGGTGGCACGGGAGACTGCTACAATGTTAGTGGAAGAGGGGCAGTGAGCTAGTAGGGTATTAGTCCAGTGGTGTGAAAAATTTTATTTTCCTCGGAACTAGAACAGAGCATGTCACCTCGCTTCCTTCACCATAAATCATATTCATCCTCCTGTAAGAATTCCTTGAATGCCAATCTATCCGAGCTCTCGTATTCTTCAGCGTACGCATTTTCCTGGTCAAATGCTAGTTCCTCCGCGATTGCATTTTCCTGGAACGCGATGTCGCTTTCAACTTCATTTTCCTGGAATAAGATTTCCTCCATGATTGCATTTCCCTCTACAATTGCATTTTCCTGGAATGCAATTTCATCCACGATTTCATTTTCCTGAAATGGGATTTCATCAGATATTGCATTTTCCTCCGCGATTAGGTTCTCCTCGGGTAGGTAGTCATTCCAAAAGTCATCATTGTTGTCAAAGTCTGCGCTGTTCATGCCTGACACAGCACCAGCAATGAGGCTGTCAACCATCAGCTTATCGTCTGTGGGAGTAGACAATCACTCATGTTAGAAACGCATCCCTTCGCGAGTGGTTTGAAGAACAAACCTGCATGTGTATGCCTACGTGATACAAGTACGTACATGCATTGTGCTCCAATTCAATCATAAGTTGAAAAACAGCTTCCTTTATCAAAACTCTATATCTGGTCTACCTAGGTAAAAACTATGCAGAGTTGTAATTTATTTTTTACAAAAGGGCGAAATAGTACATTTCAACAAGCTGAACAAAAATGCATGCTGATACGATTTCACTAAGGATATCCCACTTTAAAAAGAGACTGACAAGAATAATGTTGATGAGCAACAAAAACATCGGAAAACGAACTCATGACCGGTATAGACAACACCCGATCAAAATAATGCAAAGGGCATTCAAGCAAGGTCGTCACTGAAATGACACTTCTCAGTAAACTTTAGACTGCCTGCACAGCCTGTATATGAGCAGTATGCAATGCTTTTGAGAGATACAAACAACATTGTATAAAAAACACCCTGGACTGTTACTGAGAACAGCTTTTATAATGAAACGGGCATTTTTATACTGTCAACACAACTAACGCTTACTGCGTCACTGAAAGTACAAAAGTGCTCCACACTTACCTTCATAGTCACTTGGGTCTAAGTAGTAGTAATCGTCAGCATCTCCTAAAACGAACGGGTGTGTTCATCAGAGATGCATGCGGCGATGACGCTAGCTAAGTTAGCTTGAACGGTACCTAGTCACACATGCAGTTTTTATATTATGCTGAGCTGCACAGCCAGAGCAGTTGTCTGACACATAGAACAGCCTGATGGGCTTGTCGGTAGTGCATAACTCGGGACAGTAGCGCAAGGAATTGCAAGGATGACAACAGATCAAGACAGGACATAGGATTGTGCATTAGCCCTCTGACCAGTCTTAATCAGTTGTTTTCCGGTGATTTCTTGCACCACTGCTGCGAGTTATTGTATTTCTCATGGCGCTACAGAACTGGGTAAAACGCTGTAATGTCTAATAACGGGCTACTGTCGTGGCATTGAAATCTTTATATGGGAGACCTTAACAGGCTTTTGCGATGGGGGATGACAATGGTTTGGTGCATTTTACTGCGCTTCAAGAGCCACTCGGACATACAATGCTGTCACTAGAACCACCACGGTGGAGTGGAAAGTGGTACTCCCAATAAGCACTGGAGTTCAAACGTGGGTCACGTCAGCTCCAGCTTTTTTCATGACTGTGAGACGCCAGTTGCTTTGAGACCCTCGAATCCTTATATAGGAAGAACCAGTTCTTGGAGAGGCATCTGTGGATACAAAAATCTCAGGTGGGGAACACTTTCTCGAGATTTTACTGCCAAATGTCTCTACCTCCGACGTGCGTGAACGCTAGGCCTAGACACAGTGAGGACCTACAGCCCCTCGTCACCGGCAGGGACAGCAGACGTAAACTTTAATGATGCATGTTCCCACTATCCTAAAGAGACTCGACACGAGTTTTAACCAAGAGGACAACGATTAAAAGACATCGGACAAGAAGGAGATGCTGGTGAACTCAACGACAACGAAAACCCAGGCAATGGCCCACGCCAAAAAGAACATGATAGTACAAACGGATAGGACTTGCATTACATACGAGAGGAAGAAAGACCTCGAACTGCAAGGCGCGTGATTGGGCGGGGAGAATTTCTCCTCGCCCAACCCATGCAGTAAATGCACACGTCTCGGCACCGAATGAGACTGCCAAAGCATAATACGAAATGTGCCTCTGAAGTACACACAAGAATACCTTCTCAAAGCTCTGGTAATCAATAGGAACCCATCACTGATAGATGCCAAGAGACTTAGAAGTACAACGACGATTATACTCCTTTTCAACGGCTACAAGGTGCCGACATGGGTGTATTTCAAGAGCACAATCACTAGAGTCTCACTATATAAGAAGCAGATAAACTTCTGTAAGGGGTGTGACAGACAGACACAGACTAGACGTTTGGCCACGCCCAGAGAAAAAACTGTGTACACGATGCGACATGCGCAACCCAATGCAAGAGCACGACTGCAAACCATGATGCAAACTTTGTGGAGAAGGTCACCCCACAGCAGAACGACTGTGCAGGGCTAAATTAAAGACATTGTACATAGTGAAACAATGTAGATGGGCAGCCAGGGCCGAAGAGGAAATTTAGTCGTGTCCACCAGATGCCCCCCCCCCCCCCCATCTCAGCCAAAAGCAAGACTGGCGACAAAAAGCAGGGGAACATCGAGGTCCAGGTCCAGATCCAAAAGAAGATCACGACTCAAAGGCAAACCCAGGGAGAAGACGCTTGCCGGAATCTGCCTCTGGGAGAGGTCCACATGGCGAAGGGGGAGCCAGCCACTCAGGAACAGCGACCTACGCAAGACACCACCTGTGTCACATAATCCTGCCTGCCAAGAGCCAATGAAGAGGGTTAGCAGGGTAAGGACAGGCCGGCGTATTTTGGCACCAAGCGAAAAGTCCAGGCAGAGAAGCCTAACGAACAGGAAAGTGTAAACCATGATGTAAAGAGACCTAGGTCCAGCACAAAGAAAACAGACATCTTGGAGAAAATTATCAACAAGCTGTCAGAAAAAATGGATACAATGTTTGAAGTTTTGGCAACACGAATGAACGAAATTGAAAAGACAGTACAAGCGCAAAAATACGAAACTATTCATGAAGCCCTAGTGATGAAAGTTAATAAAATAGAAAAGCAGATACAAGCACAAGTTGACAGCCAAGTGTCACTAGCTTCATAGGCAAATGCATCCAACTCTGCAAACCTTGGTGCCCCACGACCTCAGGTAAGGCCCGCAGGTCAAGGACGCAATGTTTGTTGCCCAGCTACGTTTGCACATGATGGCTAAAAACAAGAAAGAGAGTCTGCATAAATGGCAGTTGAACTGCCGTGGCTTTGAGAAAAAACGATCGGCATTAACGCTTTATTCGCAATGCCCGCAGCCTATAGGTGGCGTTCGCTCGTCACTCTCAGCGCGTTGACAACCATCTGCGTCCAATGAAAAATCCTCGACGTCAAGACGGTTTCTTTGAACATCACTGCTGAAAGCAATCTGGATTCTCTCTGTCGAGCGACTTCGGTAGCACCAACAACGCATCATTGCACAACCCCAACATGGCATCACTCAGTACGTTTATATGGGTGTGCGGAGAACATTTCGCTCCGACACCAGGCAAGAAAAGAATCGCTTGCAGTGTGCTGACATCTATCAACGAACGTAAAAAAACAAGCGGCGCAGCGTAGGCCAAGGTTTGGAAGCGCAAATCGTGAGCCTGCGCTACTTTCTGCTTGCAATGAAAGTTATGGGATTCATGCACTACAAAAAGCAATGGCGAATGCTATACGCACGTAAAACAAGGCCAGTTTCTTCTGCAAAGGTTAGACAATAACATTTACCTACCCAACCTGGCTGCAGAAAATCTTGCGAAGCTGATATGTGTACTCTGCAGGCTATAATCAACAAGCGCGAGTTGCCACGTATTTTAACGAACATTTCTCCCCTCGCAAGAACGAATTAGATTTATTGTGTCAGGGACGGTCCGGTAAATTCACTAATGCACGCAACATACAAAGTGATTTGTGTTTGTTTCTTGCTAACACGTTAACACTGAGGCTCACACCGCCGAACAAGGGAGCATTGGGAGCGTCTGCCTACTTCAAAGGACGCTCCTGAATTACGCTAGGCGGCGCGGCACTCTATGAACATTGCAAATATCGCAAAAATGCAGCCGCCGAAGCTAGGATTTATTCCCGTGACCTGCGGGTCAGCAGCAGAGTACCTTAGCCACAAGACCACCACAGTGGGGCAACACACATTCACAAGACAAAAGGACAGGAAGCAACCGTCCTGTCGTCTCGTCTGCAAATGAGTGTTGTTTGCACTCGAAATTCCCTGTCAATCAATGTGAGGATTATTACGTTATGCTCATATAACCTTAAAGAATGACTTCATGGCAGTGCGAATTTCCCTGGCATAGGCATTTTCATGGACTTAGCATCCTTTAATCGTAGTGAAGCCACCTTTACAAATTTCATTGTGGACAAATAAGCACTTGGATGCTTTTATGGCGTAGCACCCCTCTAATGCAGTGAGGCTGCTGGGGTTAAATGTGGCGACTTCACTTCTTTATTTCCAATAGTTGAAAACTTTCTATATTTTAAATACGAATCGAAGTGAATTTTAATACTCTAATATTCCTTCGAACATTTGGAGCATTCGAATATTCACACAAGACTGATTATCAGACCCTGTGATGAGGTGAATGGCCACAGGGTATTTTATTTTACTGCAATACTGCCCGGTTCTTGTGCGCAGGCTTGCACGAAGTACTTCAGCGTAGTATAAAATTTCATACTTTTCATACAAACAAATTTCATAATTTCGTACAAACAAAAAACATCGCGAAAAACAAAAGGATTTGAGAGAGGGTTCTCAATCGCAAGTGCCAACATAAGCGTTGCAATCTTATAATGTCTAGGAGCGGCCAAACACACAAGGGTAGAGTTTTTCACTAAGGTGAGAATCTGAAAGGATCAACGCCAACTAGCAGAATCTATCTTTTTCAGTCAAAACAACTCGCGACTGTCTTCCTGGGACATACGTGAATGGAAGGGACGGTGCAGCTAGGCTGCCGCAAAAGTGCGGGTTGAAGTTTTGCTCACAACTAGGTTCTTTTGACAGGAATGCTAAAACGCGTCTGGCCCCTTTTTATTGTGATAGCAATTATATGGACAGTCCAAGCTATTCTTTTGCCGTCGCCATTTCCCGCCACCCTTCACAGTATATGTATACGTATCGATATATATATATGAACCCTCAAAGAAAAAAAAAAAAAAGAGCCGCCCGCGCTCTGGCGCCGAGCTTTTGTTTCTCTCGCATGTACTTTGCCCCATGGATGGATGCCTGAACACGCACGCTTATCCTTTGGTGGGGGAATCGTGTGCTTTTGGCTTTCACTGAAACGAAAGCGTTGGTGGCCGGGCCCACAAAGGTCACTTTGGTCTCTGCACAGGCCCCTTTTGCGAAAACAGTGCGCTTTTCATACACAGCGAGGTATAACAAATAACTGGGACACTTGTTAGTTTGTACCCATCTGTACCTGTGATTACGTATCGAGCTAGTAAACGTTATTAGTTCGCTCTCGTCCTGCGAGTATCGTTTTCGTGCATCATTTGTGTGTGAGCAGCGCGCTGCACGTTTCGATCTGCTTGCCGTTCTCAGCGTTACATTCCAAGTGGTTGCTGTGGCATTTATTGCTTCACCCTTGCGGCAAAACTGTGACACTTTTTTTACTTTTTACATATTCACTGCCTTTAACCTACCGCTGTATGCCCTCGGAGTTCGTAGATTGCTATCGCGTCGCCGCGACCGCAGTTTTGTGCGCAGTGGCTGCAGCAAATCGTAGTTAATTTTACGATTCCCATGCACTTGGCTGTGCACGCGCCTTCAAAACTAAGTGGTTTTATGCGATTTGCAATAGCACCTGCCGCAGTTTTGTATGCACAGTTTGGGGAAAGCAGCGTTGCTTTCACTTGCACACGTTCAGGGTTCTGTCAGTTAGTCGTAGCATATACATGATCATGTCAAGAGTGACCGCGGTTTCGTCCACAGCGGTTGTGGCAACAACAATCACACGCACTGTAGAAGACAGTGCGTGCGCCGGTCGCACACATACTTTCCGAAGCTTTGAGTACGCTGCTCTCGGCCTTCGTTCGATGGTTTCCCTACCGAAATTCGTATCACCCGTCGCGATTAAGAAACGTGTTCGGAACATTCAAATTGAGGCCCAATGAACACAGTAAAATTTGGCTGGGGAATTTCAAGAATTCATATCTGCCGTGGTTTCGCATCACTGAGATTATACTCTACGTTTACAGGAACGCCTCTTAAACTCATTTATAATAAAATGGGGTAGGTTCGAAAAGCCTAGAGCGGATTGAGCTGCTTTTTTGCCAATGCGGCCAGATCACGCACAGAAATTTCGATTTCCAGAAGATTTTCATGACAACAGTACAACCGGAAAAAAACTCAAAATCAGAGAGTCTCCCTGCCAATCCGGAAGACTTGGCAGGTATGCCATTCGAAATCAATGTAAACATAGTTCAGGCTAGAATCGATATGATCGAAGTATTTCCCCGCGAAAAAGACAATAGCAGAGTATTGCAGAAGGTCAGAGTATATTAAGAAGCCCAACAGTTCTTCAATAAAGGTTTCTGGTTGCCTAGCCTATGAAAGGAAACTTGCACAAGTTTGTTTTTATGAACAACGAATTGTAGGTCAAGTAATGCCCATATTTCACAACATCCATTAGTTTCTTTGCTTAGCAGTGCATAAAGTGACTTGATATAGTTTGATGTTAATTGTCTTCATGAAATGTCCTGCCGCGTATTATTTGGCCAAAGTTCTGCATCATGAAAAATATCAGCATGTACGAAAAAGACCACACACCTGGTAACATGACTTGTGCCGGGCAAAGTGGTGGTATCATGTACGTGTCGGGATCTGTGAGCACAGACTTGGGAATTCAGCAAGCCATGGACAGGCCAAGCAAGCGGTTTCTGAATAACTACCACAAGTGGACGCAGCGAGAAGTAGGTGGCACGGGAGACTGCTACAATGTTAGTGGAAGAGGGGCAGTGAGCTAGTAGGGTATTAGTCCAGTGGAGTGAAAAATTTTATCTTCCTCTGAACTAGAAGAGAGCATGTCACCTCGCTTCCTTCACCATAAATCATATCTCATGTAAGCTTTTCTCGAATGACATTCCACCCGAGCTCGCATATTCTTCAGCATACGCAATTCCCTGCTCGAGTGCTAATTTTTCCACGATTGCATTTTCCTGGAGCACGACGTCGCTTTCCTCGTCAATTTCATTTACCTGGAATGAGATGTCATCTGCAATGGCACCTTCCTCTACAATTGCATTTTCATGGAATGCAATTTTATCTGCGATTGCAATTTTCTCGTCAACTGCATTTTCGTGAAATGCAATATCACCAGATATTGCGTTTTCTTCTGCAATTGCATTTTCCTCCTCAATTAGGTCCTCTAAGGTCGGTAGTCATCCCAAAAGTCAACCTCGTCGTCAAAGTACAAGTCGTTCACGAATAACACAGCACCACTTATCAGACCATCGTCTCTGGGAGTAGACGGTCACTTATGTCTGTAACACATCCCTTCGCGAGTGGTTTGAAGAACAACAACCGTGCATGTGTATGCCTCCGTGATACAAGTACATGCACTGTGCTCCAATGCGAATCACAGGTTGAAGAACAGCTTTCTTTACCGAAACTGTACATTTGGTTTACCTAGGAAAAATTTATGCTGAGTTCTTTATTTATTTTTATTTTATTTATTTATTTTAATTTATTTCTTACAAAAGAGCGAAATAGTACATTTCAACATGCTGAACAAAAATGCATGCCAAGACGACTTCACTGGAGGATATCCCACTTCAGAAAGACTGAGAAAAATAATGTTTATGAGCAATAAAAACATCGCAAAAGAACTCATGACCAGTACGTACAACACCCCATGAACACAATGCAAAGGGCATTCAAGCAAGGTTGTCTCTGAAATAACACTTCTCAATAAAATTTAGACGGGACAGACTGTATATAGCAAGTATGCAACGCTTTTGAGAGAGACAAACAGCATTGTATAAAAAGTGCCTTGACTGTTACAGAGAATAGCTTTTATAATAAAACGGGCATTTTTGTCAACACAACTAACGCTTACTGCGTCATAAAAGTGCTCCACACATACCTTCATAGTCACTTGAGTCCACGTAGTAGTATTCGGCAGCATCTGCTGAAACAAATGGGTTTGTTTATCATAGATGCATGCGGCAATGACACTAGCCAAGTTAGCTTGAACGTTACCCAGTTTTATGTGCAGTTCTGATTTTGTGCCGCACTGCACAGCCAGTGCGGTTGTCTGACATACAGGACAGACTGATGGGCTTGTCGGTGGTGCATAACTCGGGACAGTAGCACAAGGAATTGCATGGACAACAGATCAAGACGGGACATAGCACCATACATTAGCGCTTTGCCCAGTATTGATCTGTTGTTGTCCTGTGATTTCTTGAGCCAATGCTCCGAGTTATGATGTACTTTCTCGTGCTGCATCAAACTGAGTAAAACGCTGTAACTTGTAATTAAGGGCTACAGTCATAGCATCAAAATCTTTATATAACAGACCGTAGGCGGGCGTTTCTGACGCTGTGTGACAATCGTTTTGTGCATCTTACAGTGCTTTAAGAGCCTCTCGGACACACAACATGGTCACCCAAACCACCACTGTGGAGTGGAAAAAATGCTACTCCCAAGAAGCACTGCTTTCAGAAGCGCTTATGAAGCCCGTGTACAAGTCTGCAAAAAGGTTGAGGCCAGATAGTCCCAACTTACACAAGTAGCAAAACATTGATTAGGGGAAGAAAGTACTCTTGGAACATGTTACGTCCCAAGATGATTCGAGTGGCCACACGGTATTTTGCTGTGTCACTGCCAGAATATGGGCACTTCAGTTTAACCACATTTCAATAAAATCGTTATTGCCTCAGCTCTTGAGTGCTTAAACCTAAAGTAGCTAGTTACAGCTTGTTTTGCAAATAAAGTAGCCGGTTGTACACACCTAGTTACCAAACAAAATGTGATGTGAGAAAATTGGAGCGAGCATGACAGAGTACACAAAATAATTACGAGATAGAAAAACTGCCAAGAAAGATGAAGTGGCTATAAAATTGAAAGCATAAAAAAAAATGAAGGGGGAAGGGGCAGTTTTATTAGAGTGAAACAACGAATGCCATAGCAACAAATTGGAATAGTATATGAAGTAAATCTAGTAGCTAACTACTCGAGCGTTTTTCAAGATGCTAATCTAGCGTAATGTGGCCACAGCTACATTACATTACGGTGTATTCGGTAGGCAAGCCCAATTCTCTGGCTTGCAGTTGGGAGATCAGAGTGAAGGTTACAATAAGAGTGGGAGGTGCAGTCTATCAATCGAATGCACCAGCCATCTTGGAGGCCTGCCTGCAACACCATAGCGCGGCAGTCATTGAATAATCGAGTCATGTGCGACATCAACGAGTGGCACCGTCCAGCTTGACATACCTCAATACGAACCTCGCTTGACATACCTCCAGCTTGACATACCTCATACCTCGATTTGGCGATCGTCATTGCTTGAACTGTTGCCTTTAGGGCTTTTGGTCGCGATCTGCTGCGAAAATCCGCTTTACTGAATTTCGCACCTTCAGTAGCTGCCTCCACTTAGGGTGGCACAGTTAAGCCTTGCTGAGTGCACAAAAACAGCTCGGACACAATCTAACAGACCCGCAAGACGTATCAAACCATGCTCGTGCAAAGGTACAAGCAGCCTGATGATCCATGTCAAGCCAGGGTGCGCGTTCTTAATGTCTGCAGCTCACGTCGAAGCATTGCAGCCCCCGAACCCCTCTAGGTTCCATCATGGACCTTTCTCGCGATGGAAGACGGCTGGCCTGTTTCTACGCCACTTGAGCTATGGTGGTCAGTGGCACTTGCACAGTCTCACTCACACATTGAATATACAACATGTGAGGTTATGTCCTAGATTCCGACATCATAAAGAATATCAAGGCAGTGGCTGAATTGCACCGGGGATGTCCACATTAATAACCACAGCAACAGACAAAACAAGACACATGCAGCCTTGAGGCATGCACACACGTACCATCGTGGAGATCCCCGTCATAGTAGTCGTCGGCTTCTAAATCTGCGTAATAAGAAAAGGAAGGGATGAAATCTTTATTGGAAAGCCTTAAATTATTGATTTCAAAGTAGTAGTAGTAGTAGTAGTAGTAGTAGTAGTAGTAGTAGTAGTAGTAGTAGTAGTAGTAGTAAGTAGTAGTAGAAGTAGTAGAAGTAGTAGTAGCAGTACACTCAAACCTCAATATAACGAACCGAGATATAATGAAATATCGGTTCTAACAAAGTGATTGAAAATTAATCTTGCAATAGATATGGTGTTAGGGATAAACCTTTGTAACAAATTTTTGCATATAACGAACTTGATTTTGTAAAAGCTGTAACTTTGTTATAACAAGGTTTTAGTGTAGTAGTAATATTGATGCTTTAACGTCCCAAAACCATGACATGATTATGAGAGACACCGTACTGGAGAGCTCCGGAAATTTTGACCTCCTGGTGTTCTTTTAACGTGCACCTAAACCTAAGTACATGGGCCTCAAGCATATTGGCCTCCTTTCTTTTCCCTCTATTTTCCTTCCTTCCTTCGAAAATGCAGGGGCCGCAGCTCGGATTATTCATTTCAAAGTAATGTTAGGCCATGGGTACTTGGTGGAATTTCAGACACATCACAGGAAGGATGCTCGAATGATCACAACAATATCGATGAACAGAAATGAACAGCAGTTATACATTTACACGAAACGAAAAGCTATAAAGGTGTGTGGGCGGCTACAACGATTCTTCTGCGTTATGGTATTTGTGTACCGGCAAGAGAGACACAAAATGAGATCACACAGTGCAACAAAGTTCACTTGTGAAACTTCTTTGCTGTTTTCATCAGAGGTTATAAGACACACTATTGGATAGAGCTCTAGAGTGCCACATTAGCTCGTATGGCGCATGCGTAAGGCTCGCACCCGACTGCGGTCGAACCCTACTGCCGTGAACTCCTGCTAACATGAATTCTCGCTTGGATCAAACAACACGTGAACATTTTTTTTTGGTTTTATATAGACTCGATGAAGAAAAGTCCGTAAATACTGTTCTGTGTAGACGTTACTTGGCAGTGACTGATTACTAGGCTTGTGTGAACATTCGAGCACATACAGTAGTCAAATTCGCTTTCAATTAAATTAAATTTACAAAAATTTTTGATGCATTTAAATAAACAAACAGACATTGTCAAACCTCATTTATTGTCAAACTTCATTTTAACAAACTTGCACATTACACAAAATTAAGTTCGTAATATCTGAAAATTCTTTGTTGAAGATATATTCCTAACACCATTGCAAAACTATCCTTCATTTACTTCATTTTGACCAACCTTGCGTTATATCCACGTTCGTTATATCGAGGTTTGAGTAAACATAAACAGCATGTAACCGCCCAGCACAAAGACTGTTTCACAGCAGTGGATGGGTGCTGTACTGTGAGCACACCTAACCAGGGACACTTGCATTCTGCATTGAAAGCCAAATCCTGCTACTATTTGAGCTTGTTTCTACTTCCTGTGAACATTTGCACACGCCTTTTTTAAATTAAGAATATGTATATTGTGTAAGTTAGTTGAGTCATAAGTACAGTGTAACTCCAATTATACATCCCCCGATTTCGAGACGACCTGCATTTTACGACGAATCAGTTTAGTCCTGGCGAATTCCCCATAAAAATAATGTATTAAAAACCTTGGTTATACGACGCACTTATACGTCGACCCCGAAATCTTACGACTTTCAGATTTCGTCGGGAAGAAAAAACCACCTTTACTCGAATCAAATATAGACCAACTATTCACGAGTGCAAAATAAGAACTTGGGTACCCCAAGAAGGACTACAGAAAAAATAGTCATCTTCATTGAATGGAAAGTTTATTTTCCTGGAAGTTCATGCACTTCTACACGCCTCAATCGTGTGCATACGTATCTGGGGTCGTTACCTAGTCAAGCTCTATCCAGATAGAGTAGGTTCAGCTGACCAAAAGGCTGGCACTTTCAGTCCGTGGAAACATCTCTTGCCTCTGTCACATTCGAAGTCACTGGTTTGCACCCGCATATGGGCACGACGCAGCTGCTTTCACCGTGAAAAATTACTTTCAATTGACGTCAATGTTCATAACAGCGGGACACCACTAGTTGCACTTTACAAGGCAACAAATTACAATGCCCACGAACGCATCGTATGTAAACTCCCGTCGCCATTATGCGTTAGTGATAACACTGCGTCTGACTCTTCTGATGGGAGGCTCACGGCAACAAGGTTTCGTTCTCACGCGCAGGCAATTTCCGGACTTTATATATCGGTAGAAAGATGCTCGTTGGATTTGATTGTTTTTAAGGCTGAAAATAAAGATTTGCTCGGACCTCCTTCAACTATGTATTGCTGCCATTAGCTACCACTCGCAACAATAATTTAATCTACCCTCCTTGCAGAGGCAGAAAGTCGTGCCGTGGGCTTATTCATGCAGTCTGTACCAATTTTTTGGGCAAGGCTGAGTGTTGCGATCTATAATTTTAATTTTTTGATTATACGACACCTGGGTTATACGACGGTTTTGCGTAGTCCCCTAAAAGTTGTATAATCAGGGTTCCACTGTATGTTCATTTTTCTTTATGACATGTGAATGTCAAAGAATTTGAATTCGACTTGAAGTTACTTGAACGAATCACCATTTGCTTCGAACCTAAAATTAAGTACTATTTGTGCAATCCTAATAACTACTGACAACAAAAAAAAAAGTAAAGACCCCTCCCCCTTCCACTCAAGTTTTGCTTTAAGTAAGCGACCCCCTCCCTTAAATGAACGGCTAAATTCGCTCCTAGCAACAGCGAAGAAATAACAAAATCCCTATGAGAAGAAACACTCACGTATGTCTCCAGACCGGTGGCCTTCCCAGCTGTAGTCACTGTAATCGATTTTTAACTTGCCCTTGCTGTCTGTGGCAGCGTCACTTCGTTCAACGGCTGTTCCTGAAGAAGAAATATCAGATTAGTGTAACAATGTTTCTCACCTGTAATAGCCACAAACAATGTACTTGTCTGCAGAAAACAGATAGTTTGTTCCATAACACAAGGTAACTGACATTTTCTCTTTCCTAGTTTTTTTTTTTTTTTTTTCTGCAGAGACCAGTTACAGTAGAATCTCGACGATACGAATTCGAAGAAAGCACACAAAATATTCGTATCATCCCGCTTTCGTATGAATAAAAATTAGTTGACGCTGACATTGAACATAAACAAGAACTTTATTGGCAACTCCTCCTTGATGAAAAAAGTCCATGATGTTCTTCTCTCAATGAAGTGTCGCGATAATTGATATGTGGTGTTTAACGTCCCAAAACCACCATATGATTATGAGACTCCGTAGTGGAGGGCTCCGGAAATTTCGACCACCTGGGGTTCTTTAACGTGCACCCAAATCTGAGCACACGGGTCTACAGCATTTTCGCCATCGGAAATGCAGCTGCCGCAGCCGGGATTCGAACCCACGACCTGCGGGTCAGCAGCCGAGTACCTTAGCCACTAGAACACCGCGGCAGGGCAATAAAGTGTCGCGGTTTCCTCACCCATGCTGCTGGCGCGGCAAAACTCATCGGAAATTCACTCACTTTCGCCGTTTAAGCTGCCGGAAAACCACGCTACGAAGAAAAATCAGTCCTGGAGAGTTCACACGGAAGAATTGAACGAAAAACGCCAGAGCAACCGAAAAACCACGTCCGGATGCGTTGAAAACATTCGCACCTTCTGCCCCTCAAACATGCCACCGCCACCACCACTTGAGAAGTCGTTCCATTTTGCCCGCTTCCTGAGAATTTGTGTTCGTACGAAGTCCTAGTCATGCAGGCAAAGTACTGAAAAGAAACAGCTTACGCCTTTACAAACGTTGTTTCGGAAGGTACGCCAGCAGAAAACACGAGCGGACGCAGCAGCCGCGACGCGTATTCAACCAACAATGCAAAAAAAAAAGAGACACGTTAGGGCATGCTGACTTCCACTTCCAATGTTCTCAGCGATTGTAATCTAAACCAGGCTTTTGATGAATGCATCCTTGTCATTGCCATGAGCTTTGAGGTGCTGCACGGGTAGTTCGCGATAGCAGCGACACGATCCATTGCCGACGCCATTGCCGCCATGTTGAATTAGAGGCTGGTTGCTTACATCATAGATTTTCCTATGGTTTACATCACGTGGTTTGCAGAGCAGCCAGTGTAGCCAAGCCAGTGTAGCCATAGCAGCCAAGCAAAAACGGCGATCTGCTATCGTGTGGCGGGAAAATTGGTCTCGGGCTGATTTTTTCACATCGGCCTCGCGACATGTTTTTCCGGCCACTAAGGCAAGGAAAATTCCGGCGAGCTTAGCCGCACTCACTCCTTTCAAGGCCAAAAGTGAACAGGCCTTCCTCTCACAGACAAGCCACATTGCGCCGCTGGCGTGTAGCGGTCCATCACTTCTTCGTATCATCCTGCATTGGCTGGGGAAACCATTCGTTTAAAAATGAATCAGGGCGCATTTTATAAAATGTAGTCCATCGAAAGCAACCTTAAATTTCGTATCACAGCGAAATTCGCAGCAACTGTAATAGTATCATCGAGACTCTACTGTGCAAAAACAATAATTTTTGCAGCACTTCAATACGATCATATGAAGCCCTGACTTACTGTACGTCACTTGTGTTTCTGGCATCTTGACCGCTGTCATTATGGCGATAGAAGAATGACAATGTCACTTGATAAACAGTGATAACAAGTTACTTTCATGCTCCTGAAAAAGTTTTTCGCTGGGCTAGTTGGTTTGTAGTCTTTATACTGAACAAAAGTTTTGCCGTGACGATCTTCAGTCAAACCTGAAAGACTGAGGAGTTGAAATCGATACACACAACCTTCATATCAGGCAGAAACTAGAGAAAGAAAATGAATTTAATGGGTTCACAGACTTCTGTGTGTAGAGGTACACACCGTGAACTAGAGGAGGTGACGTTAGAACCGCCGAAAATGAGGATCCAAACAATGGCAGTCGTGGCCGACGTCTCTCAAACCGCTCAACTCGCATTACGGTGCGGACTCAACACAGGACAAGCAATACTAATGTGCGTCCTGTGTTTCAGCGTTTTTGCTCTAATGCACGTCAAATCTGCACTATTCAACATGCAATACCACTGCCTGCCTCAGGTTAATCCAACTAACACTATGTTCAGCCACATCGTTTCTTGACAGTACTGTGGAAGCTACAGAACCAAGGGACATGCCTGCTACAGCACCATCAAATAGTACTCAAGTTCTCCAACACTTTTCTCGTTTAATTGATTGATTGATATGTGGGGTTTAACGTCCCAAAACCACCATATGTTTATGAGAGATGCCGTTGTGGAGGGCTCCGGAAATTTGGACCATCTGGGGTTCTTTAACGTGCACCCAATCTGATACTTTTCTCGTTTGCCTAGCTGAAACGAATGCTGTTTTATTTATTATAAATCTTAAACAGTGCAACAAGTCGTAGGTCAAACAGTTACTGTTCACTTTGCCCTTCCTTTGCTTTTCATTATTTGGACAAGACCACCTTTTCAGCACAGTTATTTTCCAAAATAAACATCTAGTGGGTCAGAGTAGAGTCGCAAATGCACTGTGAAGTTTCCCAAAAACAATGTGGACATAATAAGACACTAAAATGTACACTGAACAATCCACATGTTTCCCTCATTGGCATTAGTTGCGTACACATTTTTCTAATCGTGCCAATGATACACGTGAGAAACCGAAATCAGAAGCAAGTAGCCGCACTGCTTGCGGAGCAACACAAATGTGTGGAAGCCTGGCCTTCGTAACCTTTGATAAGGAGGCGGAGCTTATCTTGAATCTCAAGGTAAGCTGTCCCAAAGCTTGGAAACTTTTTGTGGTTAACACAAACACGTCTGGCTGTTAGGCAGCCGAGAGCAAAACAGGCTCGAACTTGCCTCCGACAATCACTGTCAGGACGTGTGGCCGCTCGGCAACCATTGCTGCACAGGCTTCCATGGCCGGAGTCGACACAAGCTCGCAGCCACTGATGTCAAGTAGCCTCAGGTCACGGCACAATTCCACCAACGCCTGCACACCTGTGAGACACATTGCCATTGAGTCGTGCACGATCCGCCACCAATTTTCATTTTGTGCATGCTGTACAACAACAATGTCAACCAACAACCCATTGTATTGGTAGCCAGGAATACACTACCAACCAATGCGCACGAGGTACATGAACACATGTATCGAACTTTTTAAAGCCTGTGGCCTAGGACAACCACGCCCCTGGATTTTGCAGCAAAAGCGGTTTTTGTGCACAAGAAGGAATGGCGGCCCCTCTTTGGCTTCAATATCACCTCCATCGAACGATAAGTGCCCCGCGCTACCTATTTGGTAGCGGGGAGCAGCGTTAGGTACTCCTCGTTAACCAGTAGCGTTAACCAGTAACAAGGTTCCCCACATGGGTAGCATGGAGTAGACTGGCTCAACTACATTAAAAGCGGAGAGACGCAGCTACTGACCGATGTCAGCATTTCCCGTGCTGCATAGTTACCATGGCTGCCACGTACTCACACCTCTGCATTCCCTCATTCGTGGTAGCTATAAAACTCATCCCCACCAGCGCCTCATCAACCTATCGAAAAAATACACTTTCATGCTGCTAGCTCATAAAAATATGCTTAAAATATTCTCCAACTTTCTTTCTCTTGTAATTTTGCTGGAAGTATTTAAAATTTATTCAATTCAATTCACACTCACACTTCAATATTCAATTCACACTCACACTTCTGTAATTTTAAACACTTGGGTGTAACTATAACAGATAAGTTGAGCTGGCGTCCTCATGTCGATAACATCTGTCAATCAGCATGTCAAAAATTGTGCTTCCTACGAAGGAAGTTAGGCCGAGCCACAAAAGATGTCAAGCTGCTTGCCTACAAAACGTATATCCGTCCGAGATTAGAATACGCTAGCGCTGTGTGGAGCCCACACCAAAAGGTCTTAAAAAATAAATTAGAACGCATTCAGAGAATGTCAGCTCGCTTTATCTGCTCCAAATATCAAAGAAGGAATTCTGTTACTGAAATGTTAAAGGTATGTAAATTAGAATCGCTAGAATTAAGAAGGCGGAAACAGAAGTTGAAACTTCTTTTTCAGATCTTGCATGCCGGGGTGAAAATAAACAGGGATGATTATTTGAAGCATTCTTACAAAAGGTTTCCAAGAACAACATGCACTACATTCATACAACCAATATATGCTCGAACAAATATCTTCCGATTTTCCTTCTTTCCCAATGCTATTAATATGTGGAATGAATCACCGAACGATATGGTGCAAAAAAGAACTTTGAGTGATTTTGAGGTTGCTCTTGATAGGCATTTCATTGAGAATGTATAGTTATCAGTGTTCATGTATGTGTTTCCTTAGAAATGTTTCATTGGTCATAGAGATTATGTTGTAAATATATTGAGTGAAAAAGCATGTAACTGTGTTTCTCATATAATTATGCTATATGTTAGAGTTCATCTTACGATTTTTCAAATATTTAATTTTGTGCAATTCAATTCTTCACCCTCCCTGTAACGACCTTCAAGTGAGGGTTAACAGTATGACAAATAAATAAATGAATATACAGATTCGCTTTAAATTTTCTATTCGCGCAGCTCTAGAAAAAAAAGGAAAGCATTTAATGTCATTGTGCATGCATTTGTAATTTCTTGCTTCAACTTAAGGGGCGTCAGAAAAAACTTCGAGCAAGGCATGCAGTCACTGGTCATTAAGCACCTGTCAGTTTTGTGAATACTATATTTACTCATGCAATCCTCACATTTGCATAATTCTCGCACTCCCCCATATAGCCCAAGAAAAATATGATTTTTTCAATTTATTTTTCGCAAGTAATTATGGCAACTTGAAAATTTGCAGCCGAAATGTTGTCTGCTCTTAGCCACTGATTATGATAGCAAACTAAAGCCCCTGAATAAAATAAAAGTAATGACAACTCCTCTCTCCTTCTCCTACACCAGCGTTCGCTCTCTCTTCATTCGACCATGGCTTGACGTACGCAGGGCATAGCTCGCAGACGCTCTCCGCATCTAACGCTGTTGCTGCTCGGGCTCTTCAGTTGGTATTTCGGTGAGAGTTTTTTATGTTATTATCGACTGCCGAAACACAGAGAGGGCATCGTCAGATGGACAGACAGAAAAACTTCTTCGGTAAGTGTGTTTTGACCCCCTTCATTCCTTGAACCACCGCGTGGTTCCACGCCACGTCTATACGGCCATGCATGCCTTTCGCCGTGATGACATCGGCAGCTCGAGTCACCGCAGCAAGCTGCAATGCCGGGCCAGAGGACATCAATATGTTGTTGCACTTGGGTGATGGTGATAAACAACCGCGCGTCACAGCAGCCTTTATCGGACTGCTGGCAGAGGCGGATAGCTGTCAGCGGGTTGACGTGCAGAGAAAAAACGCTTTCTCAAAGCAACTTGTGCTGCAAAGAAAATCTGATTTTATTATTCAAATAATGGGGCAATTGCACACCAGTATGTAGAGTTAAAGACGCAGGCTGCGTTTTCCACACACAAAAAATGCCCCATGCGGTGGACGTCGGCGTTGCCATTGAACGCGTTTTGCACGCAAGCCGAGAAGAACATGCAAAGCGCAAGTCGAGAAGCCGTGGCAATGAAAGTTATCTGGCATTTATAGAGCTAAAGGAATGAAAGTCAGCATGCCGATGCCATTTGTTGTGCTGACATCTTAAGTGAAATCAGTTTTGAGTAATATCATTTTTGAGTTACAACACTTTATAGACTCTCATTGTCACCCCGTAATTGTTAAGCTAATTAAACACAAGTTCGTCAAAATGCTTGCATGAAGATATTTACAAGGGTCCATTTTTTTCTGAAATGTCCTGGACAACCAACAACTTTTACAAAAAGTCGATTAAAAAAGTATGTATGATGTACACACAAACATGGACAGCTTTACGGCGCTCACAAATGTCTCAGAATCCAAGTTCAGGAAACAGGAATGGCTACAGCTTAACCCTGTAATGCCCAGAAGTTGTTGCAAATGAAAAAAATATATATTGTGAGCACGACAAGCTAATGACTCTTCATTCTCTTTAGATATCATCATCACCTGTACATCTTCATCATCTCTAAATATTATTACGAGGCAGTGGGCATGGCTTCGCCCCGTCGTAGACGCATCGATGAAGAAGAAGCGGATTCGGCGCGCGAGATCCTAGCAACCCTGAGGTGTCACACCTACCTGTAAATATTGCAAATACACTCCTTTCTCTCTTCCGGTATCTGTAATCCCCGTCACAAATTGGTGGACGTGCTGGGTAACGAAGAGCACTACAACGGAGCTCCGCAGTAGTCGTCAAATCGGAGTTTCCGTGATGGAACACGGGACTGATCCCACGGCCACCTCTTCATCGGCCTCGGCAACGTCTGCACCATCTACGGCAACGCCTTCACCGCCCTACCCCCACCCACGTACGTGCCGACGCATCCGAAACATCCAGGAACGTTCTGCGGTACGGACGAAGTTGATTGATATGTGGGGTTTAACGTCCCAAAACCACTATATGATTATGAGACACGCCGTAGTGGAGGGCTCCGGAAATTTCGACCACCTGGGGTTCTTTAACGTGCACCCAAATCTGAGCACACGGGCCTACAACATTTCCGCCTCCATCGGAAATGCAGCCGCCGCAGTACGGACGAAGTTGATGTTGACGACTGGATAGCAGACTACGAACGTACCAGTGCGCTCAACCCGGTATGACCCGACTCTCATGCTGCCCAACAGTGCTGTTTTATCTGAAAGGCACAGCCAAAGTCTGGTACGAGAACCATGAGGAGGAGATCGGCAGTTGGGACACGTTCAAGGAGAAGCTTCACGATTTATTTGGGAAGCCCATCAGTCGAAAGGTGGCTGCAAAAAAGGAGTTGTCTATACGTGCTCAGACGTCCACAGAGCCGTATATCTCGTATATACAGGACGTGCTGGCTATGTCGTTAACCCGACGACATGTCAGAGTCGGAAAAGGTTGGCCACGTCCTCAAGGGGATAGCGGACAATGCGTTCAACCTGCTAATGTGCCGGAACTGCGCAACCGTCAAGGAAGTTATTCAGGAATGCCGGCGTTTTGAACAGGCCAAAAGCAGCCGTATTTCAAGATTTTTCACTCGACTGCCGAACACCGCTGCGACGTCCTCCTGCGAAGATGGACTGACCTCTCATCGGCAGTCTTCACCGGCGTCTGAAATTACGCGAATAGTCCGGCGGGAAATCTAAGCAATTACACCTGCTCTTGCCAGCAACGGCCACGTCGATTCGCAAGTACCTCAGGTTTGCTTGGTACAGTCGATTGTGCGGGAAGAACTCAGCAATTTAGGCTTCGATGTCTGCGCCGTTGCTCAGTCTCGACCATTTGGCTTCTGTTCAAGGTCGCCGCCTCGCCCCAGGTCATCGCCCCCGGAACGGTCTTTTCCACACTCTCGCAATCCGGCCGAATGGCGAACGGCGGATGATCGGCTGATCTGCTTTAACTGCCGTCGCATAGGGCGCGTCGCACGGTATTGCCGCAACCATTGGTCTTCGTCCCCAACACAGTAAAACACTGCTCGCCGTGCCGACAGCTACCGCCTTTTCCAGCCTCCTGTGCCGAGCACCGACAGCTACCGCCGCCTTCCACCCTTCGATGCCCCTAATACGCAGCACAGCCGCTCACCGTCGCCTCGACGTCATCAGTCTCGTTCGCCGCCTGCACGTCGCCCGTCGTCCCCTTCTCTACGACGACGCCCGACCTCCCCGCTCAATTCTCATCAGGGAAACTAAGCGGTGCAGCTCTTAGAGGAGAAGCTGCATCCTCTATACCGACCTTAAATCCTCTCCTTGTACTGCTGACACGACGAAATTTGATCGACGTAGACGTTGACGGCCTGACTGTTTCTGCACTTATTGACACTGGGGCGCATATTCATGTGATGAGTGTCCGACTTCGTCGCCGCCTGAAGAAAGTTCTCACACCGGCTGCTTCTGGCATTATTCGTGTTTCCGACGGAAGAAGTCT